ACGTAAAACAAAGCATGAACAGAAGAGGTGAAACAGTCATCGGAGGCTGAAACTCAGACACCGGCGAGACAACTTCTGGCTTTAATTAAAACAGGGATGAATTAGACACTGATTGTCAGGGTTTATTTACTGTAGTTTGAGCTCCTTGAAAGGTAAGCACGAAAGTATTTTTCTCTCTTTTTTTTTGAGCTCACGAATTCTTAATAAAACGAGATTATTGACATTACTTACCTGTACTATAAAAAGAAACTTAGATCTATTCTGCAGAAAAGATATTTACATTTTCTATTAAAAAAGAATAATCCATCTAAGGTTGAATTATTCATGGAGCCAGCTGTGATGGACTTTTGCTGTTTTATAAACAGTGTTGCACTTTTTTTCCCACAGTCTTTTTTGTTTGTTTGTTTGTTTGTTTGTTTGTTTTTACTAACACATGCATAATTCTGAACGTTAAAAAGAGTGTAACAGCACAGGCCTCCTGCACAATGAAGAGCTGCAGAGGGTTAAGATCTCTCTGTTGGGTCTAATTTAGGAAGCGGCCTCTGATGAAGAACAGATCCGAACCCTGCAGCATCAAAATTCAATCGATTTTCTCACCCAGTGCACGTACAAGCACGCGCACCACTGAGCTTCCAACATATCAGGTTTGTTTTTTGACACACACACACACACACACACACACACACACACACACACACACACACACACACACACACACACACACACACAGGATGTGTAATCATTAGAAGGATCGCTCACATTCTTGTGATCAAAAGATCCTCTCTGTCTTTTCAGATGACCTCTGACTACTTTAAGAGGTCAATAATCTCTTCAGGATCAGATGAAAAACCAAAATAAGCAACAAAATAATAAGGAGTCACATGATGTTCATTTTTTTCCCCTCTTGTTTTCCCCTCATGTTTTGTTTCAGTGATTTCCTYCTTGCAGATGGAACTGAGCAGGAGGAAGGTGCCTCTGTATGTGAGTACACGCTCCAGTTTTCAGACCAGCTTCTCCGCYGAATCTCGAGGGTTGAGTTGGGTATCTCTGTGGAAAATCTCTGCCAAATTAAATTTCACTCATTAAAGAACTAAAGACCAAACAGTCTATGAAGGAATGCATATCACCTGCCATGTTTCATGCTAGAGCAGTGGTGACAATCCTGTTTCTCGTCAGCCTCTATCATCCATCTTTTAGTTGTCTCCCTGATTTCTGCAGAAGCCTGGGAAATGACTACAACTAGTAGGATTGTGACCAGAGAGGACCAGAGGCACCTCTGTTTGAGTTTTAGACTAAAATATCACGTAACACTTTATAATAACTGCACCTCATTTAGCCTTACTAAATCATTAGTAAATGGGTAGTTTACCTTGAAAACATCATTAATTTAGCTATAAACTAACACATTTATWAATACTTTACCCATAAAGGCTAATTACTTCCGAAACAAATATACTTATTGTTTATTCATGCTTAATACCTCATGAATTAATTAGTCTGTATATACTGTGTATACATGATGCTCATGTAAATGTACTTTCATATTATGTGTTTGGATTGATTATCTACTAATCCTGCAGTGCATCAATAATTAAAGCAGTTGCTAGATGTTAGAAAGTATTTTTGTGAACCTTTTTAAAGCGATAAAAAAAACTATTTATGCTTTTTAAGTATTTGCTAATGTAGAAAGACCTGAAGAGCAACATAGTCAATTCAAACATTCTTTAACCATTAATGCATTAATCATTAATACACATTAATAAATGTGTTAGTTTATAGCTAATTAAGTATGAATTGTTCTTAATTAATGATGTTTTCAAGGTTAACAAACCATTTATTAATGATTGATTACGGCTAAATAGGTAGTTGTTATAAATTTATGAGAATGGATATTGTAGCTGTTTTGGTCAAACTTTGAAAATAAAATAAAATAAAATAAAATAATGTCAATAAGTGCAATTTTAGGAAAACGTGTTGTAACTGTCAGCTATACTTCCATGTAGCATTTTAGCTCAGTATCTGGAAAATTGACTGAGATTTACCGGTAGCTATTTTTGTTTTTTTGGCTGCGGCAGTCATCTTGAGTTGTAGATTTACATCCTGTAATTACTTTCTAAAAATATCATTAAAACTTGTTCAGWGGTTTACAAGATATTTTAATACCAAAACAYTGGTAAATAATTATTGTCCACCTTTTCCTCGTGGTAATAAAATGAGTCATCGGGAGAAAAGTTTTCTCCTTCACACAGCACAGATAAACTGTATTCTGTTTTGAGGGTTTATAGCACGAATGAACAACCCTGCAGGTTTTACCTGCTCCAACACAGCAGGCTCCTGCAGAACCTGAGGAGGTAATTCAATCAGTGACTCAGGTGTGTTGGAGCGGTCTATAGTCACATGAGCTTGTTTTTCATCCAAACAAGACCTCAGTGACCCTGGCATCAGAATAAAGCCGGAACACTTGTTGTCAAGTCTGTTTGAATAATTTTGGTTTTGCTGAGATTATTTTGAACATTTAATCAAAACATGGAAGAAAAAGCAGCCAGGTATTTGTTTATGTTCCTTGTAAATCAGTAACACTATACAAACTATTGAACATGACATTATTTTATGTTTTTTTTTCTCAAAGTAAAAGAAATTACTGATTATATTTTAACAGTTTTTACTCACAGATCCACATCGGTGTTGTTAGATTCTCGTGGCTGTGTTGTTTAAAATTATTGCTAATCTTTCTTAAACTTTCTGATGTTTTCTAACGAGGTCAAGGAGGTTGATGCTTTTGACTTGATTGCACAYGGAGATAAAAGGAGGCAGAATTGCGCCCAGTCTTTATCGGAGACAGAGGAGAGAAAAATAGCTTCTCGAGTTATTGGATAAAAAATTAGGTCAACTGTTCAGCGGGGCTAATGGGCTCTCAAGAGAAATGAGCAGATAAGTAGAAAACCCCACTCGGAACCATCTAACACCCATCTGTGATTTTCATGTGCAACATTTTTTCTTTCCTTTTTTTTCCCCTTTCAGCTTGTCTTGAGTTTTTCTGAGTCAGTTGTTTGATCTGTTTCCAAGAATAACCCGCTCATCGTGTCTTGTGGCCTCAATACTCTCGTCTATTCAGGCCACTTTAGGTGGACAAATTGACGTCTTATTCTTCGTGACTGTTGGAGCGTGGCAAACATAGACAGACTCGTGACCCGGGGAGTACAGAACGAAATGTAAAAACTGTAGTTTATTTGCACTGGAGCTCCAGAACTTCACATAGGAGGCTTATAATTATATTTAAAGGGATCCATGATTAGTTGTAACATTAAACTTTATTTGATAAACATTTATTTTAACTGTAAAATAAAGACTGTAAAAATACTGTAGGATGTTCAGTTTTTATCATTTTTAAACTGAAAGTTGAAAAATATATTACACGGACGGGGCCATTTTATTTACAAGCAAAGCATTCTGGGTAAATGAT